ATTTTTCTTTAATACGATTTTTCGAATATTCAGGCCGGTAGACGAAATAAAATACTCTTTTCATTGTTCCTAATGAGATTTTCCTGTTACTTAATACTCTGTTTATCTTTTTAAAAGTATTTTTAAATGTTGAAAACTGTTAACATTAGAAAAGATTTTTTTGCATAAATCTTTATTATAAATGTCTTGAATTGTTCTTTCCTTAATACAAAAACCAAACTTAACGTCGGCGTCAACAAAAACTAGGAAAATGGCAGTGTACGTTCATGAGGAAACAGAAGGTGAAATAAACCACGACTCCTGATTCCAATATACTGGGTTTTCCGACTTGTAGTTCTGGCGCTTGTAAGCAGAATTTCCCCTTTAAATGTTATTTTTAGGAGTTTCCCACAATTGAGTAGACGCTCCGTTTATTTTAAATAGTATTTTATTTCGTCTACCGGCCTGAATATTCGAAAAATCGTATTAAAGAAAAATACGCCCTCCGACAGGATTCGAGCCTGCATCCTCTTTGCAGGAGAAACCATCGTTAGATCCGACGTGTTTTCTAGTCTCTCCTTTATCTGTGATGAGATTGCCCAGCATTCACTGCCATATAGGAGGACTGATATTACATAATGGACTGTATATGTGAACAACGAGGAAGTTTTAGAGAAAACGGAAACAAAAGGGACACTTATGCTTAACATCTGAAAGAAACAGTTAAAATTTTTAGGGCATAAAATAAGGAAAGAGTGCTTAGAAAATTTGACACTGACAAGACATGTTGAAAGCAAAATGAACACAGGAAAACAGCACATAACCAACATAACGATCTTGTATAAATGATTAGCAGAACAGGGATTAGGAGAGACCTACAAGGTCATGATCCCCTTGAAGAGACACGTCACATAGAGGAAGAATGGCAATCAGAAATGTGCGGGTAGCTTAACAGTTATCAGCACAAAAAGTGAAATCAGTAAGTCGGGTTCAAATTCCAGTCGAGTCAGTTATGTTCACATTAGCACTATACTATAAGAAAGGCATGAATCCATAACTATGGGTTAAATAGCAGAGTAAACTGTACAATCTCGCCTTAAATGGCAGCCAGAGAAGGACTCCTCTCATTTTAAAACCGTGGAGTAAACAATGGGAAACCATTCCATTGTCTTTTAATGAAGCTCGAAAAGATTTAAAAGAAAAGGAAACTGTGGAGGGTTATGATCGCCTAAATCATGAAGAGAAACATTTAAAAAATAACAAGTAAAAATTAATCAGTTGAACTGAAAATATACATTTATCAATGTCTAAAGTACGAATATTTCTCAATGGTGAACACGGCCGACATGTGATTATCATATATTTTACACGTATCTTTAATATACCTAAACACTCAACAGAAGAGCGTAAATTTTCAAAATTGTTACCTGTCTTAGTAAAACCAAAAAAGAACGTACATTTGGAATGTAATCAATATGTCTGAGCGCGATGCTGAGCAAGTGTCCACCTAATAATCAGTGTATCAGACTCAAAGATACAGTGTAACCCGGATATAAGAGATCCGGATATGAGAGAAACCCGGATATAAGAGAGATTTTCTCTGGTCCCAAATTAGAGCCTGTGTTAATGTAAACAAAATAGACCAAACCCGGATATAAGAGACTTCTTCTCCGGTCCCGACAACTCTCTTATATCCGGGTTACACTGTAATACGTAGAAGCTCGGATAATACATCGAACATTTTTTATCATTCTCTAACATCATGCGCAGAAAACAAGAGGCATTCGTGATCCAGAGCTAAAAGAACTCCCAGAAAAATCTGCCCTGCTGATTGACGTTGGAACTCGACATAATTGTTGTAATAGTGAACACGTATACACTTGTCAGCTAAGCTAAAATATTCTGGACTCTCGTCTTAATAGATATATGTTGATTTCCGTTCTCACTAGAACTAAAGTTTCTCGCTGTCTCAATATGCAAGTACATCCTGTATGTTCTGTGATATCCCGAATTGAACCAATCCTCATCAAATCAAAACAGGAAAGTGGAATCGTTCCATTTTGACAACTCAACATTGAAGCTTTCTTTATATTTTTGTTAGTGACGATTACGTCCTTAGATCACCAACGATTGTTTTTAAAACGAAGCTCAATTGAAGAGAATTTCTGCAACAAACTTCAAACGCCACGTGATTCCAACCAAAATAAGAAAACATATATTCTAATGAAGTGATAGAATATTTGGATTCAATGCAATCACCTTCTTTGACGTAAAACGACGTCATCTGAATCCACAGAAACACCAGCGAAAAATGCATGTTCGGCTTATTCGGCGTTGATCCGATTTAAAAAGGTTTTTAAAAACAACAGTAATTTTTGCAGATAATTTTCATTTCGTCTATGCTTAAAATTCATTGAAATATGAAATAATAAAACAAATGTAATTAACAAAGACACTCCAAATAATTAAAGTAATTACTCGTGCATAATACGCACTCCTAATTTGGAGCTATGAAATTCTGAAACTCGTATATAGAACGTAGTGATGATATAGAATTTGTAACAGCTAAATGCAACCTAAAGTTAACATATGTTTAAATTTTTATTTAGTTAGTATCAATTAAAATATGAATTTATATAGTTTACATTGTTTCAAAACATGATTTACAATGTATTGAAAACAAACATACAAACTTGTCCACGCAAAAATTAATAACTGAACGACGTCGATGACATTGAAGATGACAAAGGAATCTATGCTGATAACATTGATGAAACTATCATGGCGTCTATCTTTTGACACGGACATAAGTGAATCAGAGTAAAATATGCTTGATATCTTTATCAGCAATTCTTTAAGAAAAATGCACTATTTGCTTAATGATTTAAACTCTATTACGCATTTGTTCATGTGAACAATGGATATAATTTACTTTAGGCCATTCCGTCCCAAATATAATAACGCAAAGTTGCCAGAAGAAAAGTAATATTTATTTCTTGTGTATAATATGGTTCAGAATTTTAAAAAGTGCATATTGTGAATAGTTAGGATAATCAAATCCCTCATTTTAACAACACAAAATTTTTAGGTGATTATTTAAGATTTAAAAAGTTATTAGCAGGCTCTTTCGGATATAACCACATGAAGATAATTTAAGGGGTAGACAAAACTCCCGTTTCTCATTTACACATTTATTATTTACTCTGAATTATTTACTTGAGAATATTCACAGAAAAAATTGACCCTTTCATTAAAAAGAAGTTGATCTTTTCTTAGAATGAAAAGCGTTGGCGTTTTCCTTTTCGGTGTTCCGAATTTTCTTCGGAGAAATAATAATGATTTTTGCCTTTTCATGCTTATCTGCCTTTTTTAACGATTCTTTGAGCAGCTGTGGAAAATGATGAGAAGTAAGTCTGAGAAAGTATTCGTTCCAGTTTGTTGACAATTTAATGGATGTAACGAAAAATGAAATCAAAATGAATGAATAATAAAAAATATCAAAGTTACAATAAAATGTCAAATACAGAACGATGAGAGAATCTCGATGTCAAAAATATTTTCAGAAATTATGAAAGATTGTAAAAGATTACGTTGCACGTGCATGTAATAAAATAACCTCACTAGAGAAATACTATACATCAATATACAAAAGAAAGAAAGAAAAAAAATCTTTATGGACATAATTTTCTCGTTTTAACATTTTTACCATTAGTAATGAAATATATCAGAGAAAATTCTTATGTAAACATTAATCCTGTCCACTATAAACAACCAGAGATATTTGTGTTTGAGAAATTGTCTAATTGTATAAAACTGGGTCATAGTAATTTGCACTATAAACTTTTTACACGAAAAAAAAAATCCATAATTTTTAAATCCAGAATTTCAAAAATTTGCTAATTATTGGATTTCAATAAAATTATCGTCATTCATTTATGAAGGAATATATTTATGAAATGGACAATTTCTCAGAAAGGTTTGTGGAAATATTTTTTACTCATAGAAACGTTTTTAGTTAATGTTATGAAATTTCAATAAAATATCTGATGGGCACTAAAATTATTTAAAAGTTAAATTATTTGAAATTTTATTTAAAACTTTAATCAGAGATATACATAATATGTTCTGAATTCGAAAATAAATATAAGAACTAAATAGAAATACTTTTTTTAAAAATATTTTCAATATTTTTTTCTTAATTACTGTTTATTTAAGAAAAATGTTAAAATAATCGAATAGTGTAAAGTTTGACAAATTTCAATGGACCGGAGTGTTTTGATAAATAATTATAATTTTTACTACGTGTAGAAATTACCTAATCAGCATGTACAGAAGATCTATATTACAATAATAAAATTATTTTCTTTGTCTACCGTTGTTGCATTTTGCATACGATTTTCAACGCGAAAAAAAAAACAGGGTTTTGTTATATTTATTTAGCCATATTTCAACTGCTCATGAAAGGCCGCTCAATCTAAGAGTATATTCATTATGGAATAATCTTTATGATTTTGGATGACATAACAAAACTCTTTCTAAAACCAGCTTTAATAACGCAAGAGTATTTTTTACGACTAGGCGATGTTTTCTCACAATTTAAATGAAACTTTAAACTTTATTAAAAATATTTAAATTATTTCAAGATTTAATTTTTTAAGCCATGAAGTTATTACTTGGTGAATTACATAGCTGTATATTTCCTATCGGATTGTTGTTTGTGCCTCGCTAAAAATGAGAATTTCTAATGATGAAGCAGGAAAGTCTTCGCCAGCTGGAAGACTAGTATTGCTCTATATCACACTAATACTAGAAATAATAGTCTTGTATAAAAAAAAACATAATTTTTACGCGTTTTCTTTTTCTTTTTGCATGTTAATAAAGCTAATTAAACCCACTTAGAAATAATAATTATTTGATATTTATCAACATCCCTCTTTCAAGAATGTATCGGTTGCACGATAGAGAGAGAGAGAGAGAGAGAGAGAGAGAGAGAGAGAGAGAGAGAGAGCTCTAGGTTTACTGCCACATCACGTTGAAACATTGGTTCCCATACGATCACCAAAGTTAAACAACGTCGAGCGTGGCCAGTACTTAGATGGGTAACCACTTGGGAATACCAGGTGCTGTAAGCCTAGATATGTAGGTGTAATAGATAAAGGCTCAAAATGAGAAATCGGAGAACCGAGTTCAAATTCCAATTGGGTTAATTACATACACTTAGGCGAAAATATCTTTGGGACATATCTGAATTCATCTCTAACCCGCAGGTATTGGTTAATTAGTAAGACTTGTATTACTAAATCCATCATTAACTCAAAAAATAATAAAATAAATTTGCGTACAAAATATTTAGTTTTCGGTATTAAATAACCCATAAAGCTGTTGATATGCCACTATAAAAAAACAACCAAAGAAACAAACAAACAACCAGTAAGCTTTCTCCTCAGTCCTAACCTCTTTCTTCTTTTTATTAACAATCTACTTAGGATCAGCCCCAGATCATCAGTAAACATCTATGCCACGATTTATGGATGCACTTCCAAATATTAAAATGATTGGCCCCTCCTCCGATCCAGCCCTGATAGCTCAATGGGGAAAACTGGCGTATACTTTTCAATACCTCTTAAACCAAGCTAGTATTATTTGATTATCAACTATCAGACCACGGGTTTTCACCAGACACAATAAGCGATTCTACTCAAAGAGAACCCATGCTTTGAATCTCTATCGAGTCACCACAGACCTCAAATGGAACTCATCTATACGATCCATTGCTAAACATACTGGAAAATTAGTCGGTTCACTCTATAGCTCCAGAAAGTACCTGACTACTTCTGCCATACTTTATCGTTACAAGAGTCAGATAAAAACAAATCTGGAGTATCGCTTTCATATCTGGACTGAATCTGCTTCATCCAGATTTGACAGAATTCAGAAACGTTTACCAAATCTTGCGAAGAATGACATTTTCTACTCTTCAGCCTATTTCCCACAACGTCGCAAAGCCGTTTACTACTCTATCGCTATTGTCATGACAAATGTTCAAATGACCGAGGTACTGGCCTTGTTCAAACCACTGGTCAAGCCTGATTATGCGCTTTTCCTAAACATTGTACCTAGAGCCCGCTCAGCAAAGTTACAGTATAAATCATTGGTTGGTTCTGTCGGTGTTAAAGAAACACAAACGTGCCTGAGCGGAAATTTGCAAGAAAGATTAGCTAGAGATTCTATCAGACGGACATACTCGAAAATAAGGAGTCAAGCATTACTTACTTCCTTATATTTGCACAAAAACGTGGTGGCGAAACCTTACCCCCATAGCCATTAGACAGAAGGGAGAAATAGAATTCTAATTCTAAACGACCTATATGTAATCAACACATCAATTTTCTCATTTTCAGTTCTTTGTTGGACGAATTGGATTTTATCTTAGTAAAATTCAACTCTATACTTCCAACGTCTCCGCCTAAACTCTGAAATTTACTATTTGTTTTTTTCTCAATAGGAGTAGATAGGTTCGCCTATCGTCCGATTCATATCCTCCAAGATTTTCTAAACAGGAGTAGAGCTTACATTTGGGTTTCCGGATCCTTCTAAAGTCTACTTCTAACGTTTCCACCTGAACTCTGAAATTTTATTTCCTATTTATTTATTTTTCATCAGTAGTAGTTAAGTTCAGTTGTCGCCCGGTTCGCACCCCTCCCCTTTCTTTAAACTGGAATAGAGATTTATCTTTTGTTTCCTGTTTAGGATTTGGTTGCCCGTATCAACTAAAGTTTTTTTTTATTCTCTTTCACTCTCAGTAGCCCCCTGCGCCTTAGTGGCGTTATCGCCTTGCTTGAGGTGAGTAGATTAAAATGAAAGTAAAAAAGAGGATAAGTAGTCTTCAAAAATTTGAGAAAAAAAATTTAATTACTTTAATTCGAGTCTAAACCTATTCTAATATCACTGTTTTGGTAATTTTTACATTCCCTATTGGAAAACAAAGCGCGAAAATAAAGTTAACAGAAATGAAAAGAAAAGATTGAACTTTTGACAACATTTTTACACTTGGAAAGGAACAGCTTAGAGGAGAAGAAACCTTTTGCTACGTATATCTATTTCTGATTTTGAGTTTTGTGCTTCAACAAAGCTATTATCGTGTAGTTCGCCTTAAATAACTCTTATAGGTTCTGTGGGATTTTTTTCCTTTGACTTCTAGGAGGTCAAACTGAAGTGGCTCGTCACGAAGAAAATTGTTTACCGGCAAATTAATTTTTTTAGAAAAGAAAAAAATCTTGTGTCTGTGATTTAATTTTTTTCTTTGTGGTTAATACTTGGTAAGCAGCAAAATGGTTATGAAATACGTCGTATGTACACGAAATAGGTTTTAAATAAGCACAGAAGAAAATGACATCAGTTTAAGTGGAACAACACAATGCGTTGAGAAAATGGCGAATCTTACCTGTCTATTTTATTATTTTTTCTGTTTACAGTTTATTTCTTTTCTCTTTTTTGATATATGTAAATGTTCTAACAGACAGAATATGAGAAAGAATTCGAATTTCTGCCCTTTGGATAATAGCTACATGCGTATCAATTATCTGGCAGTACGGAGTCGGGGATGTAATATATTAAAAAGCATGGCTTGACCTCATAAGATACACGTCACTGTAGCATTCAATCAGGTCACGCGAATTGAAGTATTTTGGGCCATATATAAAAACGTGACAAGCTAGCTTCACCACTGCTTCAGCCACTCAACATTTGTTTTTCGGACAGCAGTCAGCAGCCATCCAAAGCAAGCAACCGAAGGGGGCAGCACTATGTTACCATCAGCGTCAGCAGAAGCCGAAGTGTTAGAGTTCACACTATCCCTGCCGTATTTCCATACACTCCAGGGACGGTTAGACGTTTTAACTGAAGAAGAAATCCCATCTCTCGTTCAGCTTTTTCAAACTGTCCAAATAAAGTGAGAACTCGGCACCCACAAAAAGAACGGAACTGAAGATTTATGAATTGTAATTTTGATAGTTTTACAACGAAGATCACGACCACCGGCCTATTATGGAGAAATATATTTCGGGTTGAATGTTGCAGATAGTGTTATGGATATCGACCCGGAAAGTGGAATGAGAGCGCAGCGTTCAAATTCCGGGCTAGTCTCTTACATTTACCTTTGCAATAACACCCTTGGAAAAAGCATGAATCCATCTATTCTCCCTCCAGCTGTAGGGTAGACTAGAATCTTTAACCTTAGATGCCAACTAATTTAAGAGAAGGAAAACTCTGAATACCAAAACCGTGGAGTAGACAACTGGAAATCACTCCATTTTTTTTAATCAGTTTGCCACAAACACTTATGTCATTAAGACTCAAGGGGGCTACTGGAAGTGAAAAAGAAAGAAAAGACTTTAGAAGGAACCTGAAATCCAATCCTATACAGGAAACACCCGTTAAAAAACAACTGAGGAGGCACAGAAAATTAAGAAAAGAAATCGGAAAAGAATCATGATCGCCAACGTTCTGGATTGATGGCATCTAAAAATATTTATTCTGTTAAGTTATAATAAAAAAGACATAACGAAAACATCTATAAATAATAATTCCTGTAGATACGCAATAAAGAATGTTGTAAAATACTAAAGAAAAGAAGTTTCTGTTTTATAAGATTTCCAATCAAAGAAAAACTGACTCATTCTTCGAATCAGAAGTAAGACTGTATTAATACATTACGTCTCATTTATTTTATCAATTCAAAGATCGTAATTCTTAAAGATTTTGTCACGTAGTATTTAGGATAAATCAATGTCCAATCAAGTTCCAACGATTTCAGAGTAAATCTCATTCTAGAGCAATGAAACATGGCAAACTTTGATGTTCTTTCTATACAAGAGGTATGACTTGGCATTAATTCCAATTCCCATTTAGGATACAATTTTTATTGTACTGATAAAAAAAAAGAGCAAAGACGACATGGAATTATAACACCTAAATCGTCATTATATTATAATAGACAATATTTTACATCAGTCAGATAGACTAATGGCTGCCGATATACTTGTGCGTGACCATAAGAAGGTCGTGAGTCCCAATCTCTTTGATCTTTTCTTAGACTATACTTGACTCATTTATAAGCAGAGATATAAAGAAGTAGAGAATTTAAATATACTGACTTCCATCCCAAATGAATTTACTGATGGAAAACATTGAGATGATGATCTTCCATTAGTCTGGCGCTAATAAATCATAAAGCGCTTTACCAAATAAAAACAAAATACATCACTGGAAGACTTTCAACAGCAGCAACAATAAAAATGGATAGCAAATGTAAGTAGAAGAGAAAATTATATAATCAAGCTGTTGACTTTCCAGACCACTCAAAACAAAAAGTTTGGAAGGAAACGCCGTCAATATTAGGAAATAGTGGGTTTTAGAAGTCTAATTTCCTACAAAATCCTTCGGCCAATGAATGCTGAATGTTTTCTGTATGGAAATAGCTAATTTAACTATTACCATTATTACTGTAGGTGCGTTGAAAAGTTTACGACGCGAACAAAAACCCCTTGCAATAAAAATATTATTTGGTCAGATTTTGGGAAGTTGTTCCGGTCGGAAACCTTTTCGGCGCCCCCTTGTTTTCAAGTATAACCGAGGTATGCAAATGGTGACTCCGTTAGCTATATGACTGTAAAACTGAAACTATTCACAGCAAAATCAACAAACAATAACAAACCCAATTGTTTTTTTAATGTGAAACATAGCAAACATGATCTTTTATATTAATAATCATCATTCTCCTGTATAGTTGTGTGCAGTTGTTGGGGCAGAGGGTGCGAAGGCCCTTCGCATCCATATCAGGAGGTGAAATAAAACTTTAGTTTATATTTAATTTCAATGAACATCACTGGCCCTCTAAGAACAGGGCCAATGACGTTCAAATTTATCAAATTCTTATGAAATCGGAACGAATGTGTCTCTTATTCAGGACTTGAAAAAATCCGTTAACTCTCGTACAACAATAATCTTTCTATGGTTCTTCTGCTACTTGATCGCCATGACTGATCTAAAACGCTATGCTTTCAACATTTCCAAATCAACAAGAGTCTGTTAAAATAAAGATACTCATGACTTACCTTTATTGTCACGATATTTGTAAAGGAAAAGCCACGTGTGGTAGGTTTTTAAAAGGTGATACAAGCTGCTGAGATATAGGGTCCAGTAAGTGAAGTAAATAAATACTTTGACGCCATGTTTCGAGGCAAACCCGCTGTAAATGGACAGAAACATCAGGTATATGGTGAGCATCGTTTGGTACATAGCATAAAGAAGGGTTGGTTGCCGGAATGCCTAAAAAGAAAAACAAACAAAACTTCAATTATTAAATATTCGTTCAAGATATGAAATAATAAATTATGAAAAATCCCACTTTTTTTTCCATTTGTGAAAATAATATTGTTGAAGGTTTTACCCTATTATCCTTTGATTACATAAAAAAATTGTACGGCATTTTCTAAGTCAGTCGGGCTTCCAAAGCTATACGATACTAGTTCAAATCTCCTCGGATGCTTTCGGTATTTTATAACCATTCTTCTTACTTAAAAACTGTAAAATGGGCTAAGAGTTGTCATAAAAAGCAATGATAATAGATGAAAAATAAACTAATTCATATTGAATACACTTCATCTAAGACATAAAGATAAATAAAGGATCAATTCTTTTTCCTTTAGCATGCTCGGAGGGAGGAGGCACAGTGGAGTAATGGATAGCACCTAGGGTTGAAGAATTGGTAGAGCCAAGTTCGAATTCTAGTCAAATCCCTTACATTCTCTTACGTGCTAATACCTTTGGGAAAGGTATGGATGCGCTTCTTCCCCGCCGGCTTTATATCCTTGGATGGCAACTGGTCTACCGCAGAAAGAAATGGCAACTTACTGAAACAATGTTTTTACGAACCGTTTTTTGTTTTGTTTTGTCTTTTGTTTTTTTTTAATATACAAAAATTAAGTATTAGAAAGTATTATAAAAAAATTATAAAAAATGTATCACCACTCCAGATGATTGCCTGCAAGTAATTTGCATAACTATTTTGGTATAACAATTTAAAAAATGAAATTTCCGGGAATAATTTTTCACCACACAATTCTTGCATACTTTGAATTTTAATCACAGGCGTTGTTCGCTACATTATCACCTAAAAGTTACAGGACCGTGTTAAATTTACAAAATTAAAAATTTCTTATATTTATGCTAGTAAAGTACAAATAGAAAAATAATCTCAATCTGTCTTAATGTATGAGGATGGATTAATAAATCCGTAGTTATTAGCTGAATTTTGATCTAGAATATTCATTGTATAATGTTTGAGCTATTCATTAAGTGTACTGACAAAGAAGGTTATAACTAAAATATTTATTGTTCAAAGTAAATACTTATTTTATCAATAAACTACAGTAATTGACTAAGCTACTTCTATAACACCTGCAACGACAATTTCTTTTTTCCTCAGGTGTGAAGGTCAAGAATAATACAATGGTTATTCCTCAAATACTAAAAAGACGGCAATGAAAAGCAGATATTACTCATGACATAGCAGAGAGGACAAAATGATGACAGGGTGCGATTTTTGGAAAGAGGGCGGTACGTAGTTTGCGACATTTGGTGTTTAACACGAAAATGAGCGAAACCGTGAATTAATGTCCATAAAAAAATTGATTTGGTCATCCTTACAATATACAATATATTTTTGTTTGTTCAAATGAGCCGAGAAATAATTTGTGTTCAATTTATCAAAATAGGTTACGCTCTCTTGAGTCATTTAGCTTGAAAATTAACGGTTATGAAGGAGGCTGGTGTGTCGATATTGTCTGAAAATGTCCGTACATTTTATACAGTATGAAAAGTATACGTGTGAAAATTATGAAAAAAGAAGAAAAAATTTATGCTAAGGATAATTCCGATAAAAGGTAATTTGGATAAATATTAAAATGTAATAAATACGAACAGAGATTTTTTTAAGCAGAATTCTTTTTGGATTATTTATTTGTTTTAAGACATATGAAACTCAATGTTTTATTTTATGCCGACAATATATTTAAGAGAAGTTCTTATGAATATGTTATGGGGTCCTCCCCTTTTTCATATAAGTGAACTCGACCAGAGTGTTACCTGGACTGCTGCCGTTAAATACCAACAATCAGTCAGAATATACGAACGAAGATAGAGAGTGTGATTGAGTTGGAGGTAGAGTAAAAGTATGAGGTAACCTCTTGTAGAAGTCAGTTACAAGCACGTAGACTCTAAGGAAGTCCTACTTCGAGACTGTATATATCTATATGTTATTGCTACTAACCGCGTTCCTGGATTTACTAACAGTATTACCCTTTGTATTTTTGTGTAAATAAATTTAATTTCTTATATTTAATTCTTGTGTCATTCATTGGAGACCGATTTTCATCTCGGAATCCACAACAGAATAGGATATGTATTCGTTGTAAAAAATCAGTTTGTAGACCTGGTTTCATTGATTTATAAAGAGGGTTTTTTCTGTAGAGAGTCAAATGTATTGCTGGTAATATTTTTCTTTTTCAAAAATGTATTGCTGGTATTTTTACTATAAATATCTATTTTTTTTTAATATTTTTATACTCTTTTGACCCCAGTTTGGGGTTTAACTATTAGCCCATAGCTGTGGCCCTAACAGGTGCTACCACCCCAAGTCAGGATGGATCTGGGAACAAAAACAATTAAGAGTTGGTTCCATGCTCCTCAAAACCTCCCGATCAGAGGCCTTGCGACAGGATGTAGTTTATAATCATACTCAGGATATGAACTCTTTTTGAATTCTGCTTTAGGAATAAATCTCTTTTCTTTTTCATAGCAAAATATTGGAGAAGATAGTTAATTAACTTTTTTTTTATTCCTATCTTATAAGAAGCTATTTATAAAACTAAATAATGCAGTTCGCATAAGGAACGCATAAGTACATGAATATCTACACATTTTTGTTGAATATTTATATATATATATATATATATATATATATATATATATATATATATATATATATATATATATATACAAATGTTATTGTATAAAAAATATTGAAATTTCAGGATATTAATCAAAGATCAGCTCAGAGTGTCGCGATGCTTCGCTCTTCATGATCCAGATAAAAATGATTCTCCTCTGGGTTCCGAAGATCGACGCATCGCAAAAGTGTAAATCGATTTTCAATAAGTAACGTGAACGTTTAATATACTGGTGCAATAATTATTGCTCTACATAGCTATTGTACACTTTATTCTGTTTGCCTTGACATACGTTAAATTACATCATTAATAACTGTTATTATTAATATTTAAAGATACTCGTGCATGTGTGTTCATGTGTGTGTGTACTTATATATATGCATTATGTTTGAAATTTATATTTATGCAGAGAAAAGTCTTTATCAAGGATATAGCGTTTGTAGGCATAAACAGTGTACGCATAGAAATTTACACTGGATACTAACTGGTAGTTTCATGCCTTAAGCAATTATCATACCATATATATATATATATATATATATATATATATATATATATATATATATATATATATAATTCTATGACCCATAGGGTCGTAGGGAAACCAAGTTTATTGCAGCCGCAGTAGAAGTGGTGATTCTTGGGCAAGATAGCCTGACGGAGACGAACCCTCTCAGGACGATTTTGAATTCAGAGTTTTTCCTTCTCCTAAACCAGTTGCCATCCAATTCTGTCCTGCTATTTACCTATAGGTGGTAGGAGTGGGGAAGAAGATGATTCATACTTTTCCGTAAGTGAATGTAATGGATCCGACTGGAATTCTAACTCGGCTCTCCGATTTCTTAATATATATGTATGTAAATAATTCAGATAAAGTATATCCGTAAAAGAACTATTTGAAAAAAGACAAAAGAAAACTTATCATAGCTGACACGTTTCGCCCTCCGAGGAAATTTACCAAAGCAAATGTAATGATTTTATTTTGTGACAAGTATTTATATACAAGAGCAAAAATCTTATTGTTTTTTTTTTCAATTTTTTTGTTTAATGAGTGTCCTTATACCAGATTTTTTTAAACCCAATAACATCTTTACTCTTGTATGTAAAAACTTGTCACAAAATAAAAACCTTACATTTGCCTTGATAAAGTCCCACGGACGATGAAACACATCGGCCATGATAAGTTTTCCTTTTGTCTTTTTTCATATATATAAACATTGAATGACCTAGGCTGCTGGGGAATGTGTGTTTTTATTGAGTCACTATCTCTAGTGACAAACAAACTTGAAAATCAATCTTCCCATTATCACACCAACCGGTTTTTGAATTCAGAATTCTCCATCCCTGATACTGGTTACCAAACAAGGTCACTCTGCTATTTAATCCATGGTTAGGTGGAGAAGAGATAGATTTATACTTTCCCAAGGGTACTTCTGCGAAAGCTAACATAACGTACTCAGCCGGAATTCGAACACTGATCGTCAATTTCTCTTCTCGAGCCGCTAATCATCAATCAAAATTTAGCAGCGCTGTGTTTTCAAAAGTAGCCTTATCTGGCGACTCTTGTTTTGTAGTATTATTCCAAGAACTAAAAGAAATGTTTGTGAATTGAAAACTACGGTTCAACAGTTGCTATTAAGAGCGAAAGATCTTAATCATGACTTGACCTTATTAACTCGAAAGAACAAAAAGTAAAAAAATGACAACCAGTATAATATTACTGTTTATTTCCGGTTACTTTTATCGGTTCATCTTCGGTAAACATGCACTAAATGACTGTATGAGATTTGTGCGTGCGCGTGCATATGTCTGTGTGTGTTTGCGTGCTCTCTTTTCTACACATTTTATAAGTACCTTCGTTTAACATATTTCAGTATTAGTGTTTTGTTTTGTTTTTTACCATCGTTTCGTATCTCTAAACAAGGTCAAATAAGATCTTGATCCTGTGTATCTTTTCCACTCGCGCTAAAACTGATTCTAAGTGGCAACACTACTAACAACGCAATTATTTCTGTCAGGGGTGGACACTATAAAACCAGGAAGCACTATGACGTTAGACTCGATTCACTATTGCTTTTGTGTTTCATTTTTTATTCTGTCATTGTTGTTTTTTATGTTGTTTTCTTAGGTGTTTTGCTTCTACTTTCAAAACAAAGCAATTCAATTTAACTTTTAAACACTATGTACATTTTATTGTTATATATTGTTTCATATAACACATGTTTTTTATTTGCTTTGGTTTAGCGTTTTTAAAATAATGATTATATTGTATCATGTTATAACTCTGCTTGTCTCTCCTTTAGTCCCTTAGTTAGTACG